ATCCCTAAATCTTCTTCCCAGACCTCCTTGAGGATGTTATTTTTTGTTTTTCCTTCCTTTATTTCAATTATTATCTTATATATTTTACTAGTTATTCCTTTCAAATTTTCATGCTCCTCTACAACCCTTCCATTTTGTATTATTTGTTCAAATTGGTTAAGCTTACTTCCGTTTTTATTATTTTTTCCCCAATTTTTAAACCATTGTTCTAATTGTATACAATGAAACCATGTCAATTTTGTTTCTCTAAATTCTTCCATGATCATTTCCTTCTTCATTCCAACCTTTATCCAATCCCCTATTTTGCCTAATTTTTTTCCATTAACTTTTTATCCATTACTTTTTAAAAAATTTTTGGAAGTATCTTTTCCATACACTTTGATATTTTTTGTTTTCAAGATGACCTGCTTAAAAATGCGGCAATTGGGATGTTAGAAAATGATATCTCCTTGCAAACTAGAGACAAAAAAAATATTTCTTTTTCCAGGCTTCTGTGCTGCAGAACATCCGGACGGCAATGAGGAGGCAGATGCGGCGTCACTCTTCTCGGCGCAGCAGCGCTTCCCGCCGGCGCCTGGGCAGGTTGTGGAGCAGATTCTTCCACAGGCCGCGGGTGAGAGGCCAAATCCCGCTTTTAAACCCCACTCACACTTCGCAGACGGTGCTGGGAGATGGCATCATCAATCGCACAGCTGGGGCGGCTGCCCAGAGCCCCTCTTCGCCTTCTCCTGAAGGACCTCATGTCGAAACAGAGACTTGCAGCCCTAATAGAGGGGTCCCTGAATCGGAAAACAGCCGTTTGCCTTTGCAGCCTGAAATCACAGGTCTGTCATCCCCTTTGGGCATTTTGCCAAACGCTTGCACGGCCGCCCTGTCAGAGCCAGGCGATGGACACAGTGACAAGCCTTTGGGTGCCGAGGACGCCTCCGCCGATGAGGTTGGAGAAACCAGCAAGGTTGACTCAGGAAGAACATTTAGAGACCCTTTGTTGGAAAGGGTGACGGAAATGCACCAGCACGTTGGGTCAACTTCAAGCGGAACTGTTGCCGAGAGCAGGAATCCCAGCAGGAATTGTTTACGGAGCGAAGAGCCGTGTCGTCTTCCTTTTAAGACGTGGGAGCCCACGTACTCTGACAGCCCAGTGAATGTCTCCATTCAGGCGGATGGGCAGCACACATATCACAGTGAACCTCTGGGCCTTCACTCTGCTTGCTGCCGTTCCATGGAAGTGCCAATGCTAGAATCCCCTGTGCAGGAAATCAGCCCCAGTGACGACGAATCTTTGCTGGTTTGCTAATGGAATGTTACTGGGTTCCGTCACAGGCCTTGTTAACCTTTTACATTGTATTGCGATAGTACATCATCCATAACCACCTCCTTGTTGTCTCTGCTATCACGCTGCCTTGATCTCCAGGGGAGCAGCATATCGTTGTCAAAATTAAATAGGAGAAATTTGGCCTCTGCAGCTGAGCCAAAGCGTTTAAATTAGCATTTTTCCCTTCCTTTCAATTTTTTTTTATTTTACTTACAGTATTTATATTCCACCCTTCTCACCCCGAAGGGGACTCGGGGCGGATCACAATATACACATATACGGCAAACATTCAATGCAGTTTTTGTAGACATACAAAACAGACAGAGGTATTTCGGCATTTTCTAACTTCGGCGCCTGGAAGTTATGCTCCATTCTGACCACAGGAGGGTGCTGTTGCTCCATCCAATGTGACGACGAGCCCTTTTTGATTGTAGAATTTCCTTCTTTGTTCTTTGATTGATTGCCGGCATTTTAAGGAGTCGTAAAATACCTCCCCTCTAAAGTGTTACCTAATTTCTCTACTCACAGCTCAGCTGTTTTTGAATTGCAGTAGGTAGGTGAACAGTGAGCTTAGGCTAACGTTTGTGTGCTCAACCCAACTCGGGCTTCGGACTTGCCACCTTCCAGTCTGATCTATTGCTGCTGACGATTAACCAGCTGTGCTAAAGCCCGGCATTTGGTTGTAAAAGGTTCCATATGTAAAATACAGGGTGGTTTGCAAAGGAATCGTTTGGAATCTCTTACCATCTTTAAATCTCCCTTTGGTCCTATCTAGTAGGTGGCTGCCGTCAGACAAATCCCAAGGGCCCTTCAGTTGTGTCTGCATGTTTATGGCACAAACTATTGTGCTCCAGCAGGTAATAGACTGTCAGATATATCTGGTCATGGATAGGCAGAAAAGTTAGCTTCCATTGAGCAATACAAAGCCCCACTAGATATTATTAGACTGCAATTGCCACCATCCATTGGTCACAGTGTCAGGCTAATGGGAGTTGGAATCCAGCAACACCCAAAGAACCATGTCTTCCTCATCCCCAGGATAGAGAATAACAATAATGGTAGAATTTCACTTCTTTTTGTCTGTATGTAGTTACTATTGTTCCCCCAGATAGAATTGCCTATGCCAGGTGGCCTCTCTGTCCCATCGACTTTACGTTATATCAGTGGTTACCTGGGAGGAAAATGGCCCAACATGGGAATGCAGATGAAGTCCTCATAGCTATTACATCAGTTTAGTACAATGGGGATCTGAAGTGATACTCCCCCAAAAACATCCTTTGCTTATATAGCTGATCTGCGGAAGTAGGAATGCACAACCTCCAAGTAATGATGCATTCCCCTAAATCTTGTTTCTTCTGTGCTGTCAAAGGCTTCTATATTTCTTCTATGTTGTCGAAGGCTTTCATGGGCAGAATTGCTGGGTTGCTGTGAGTTTTCTGGGCTGTCTGGCCATGTTTCAGAAGCATTCTCTCCTGATGTTTTGCCCACATCTCCCTCAGAGATTGTGAGGTCTGTTGAAAACTAGGCAAGTGAGGTTTCTATATCTGTGGAATGTCCCGGGTGCGAGATAATAATAATAATAATCATCATCATCATCTTTATTTGTACCCCATAACAACAACACAGTCCTAGATGCTTGGGAAGTGTTCAACTTGTGATTTTGTGATACGAAATCCAGCATATATATCTTGTGATATATGTGAGTGTTGCAGTTGATTTCCTTGATTAGCATTGAAAAACCTTGCAGCTTGAAAGCTTGGCAGCTTTCTGCCTGGGGGAATATAACAACAACAACAACAACACATACATCACACAGTCCTAGACACTTGGGAAGTGTTTGACTTGTGATTTTGTGATACGAAATCCAGAATATATATCTCGTTTGCTGTGACGTACTGTGCTTTCGTGTCAGTAAAATAATAACATTTTATTTATATTCTGCCCTATCTCCCCAAGGGGACTCAGGGCGGATCACAGTACACATACACGGCAAACATTCAATGCCATTTTTTGGACAGACAGGACAGAGACAAGACATAACAGAGAGGAGGTATGTTGAGTTGACGTCCAGCTTTTTTTGGCGCCTTGGATGTTATGCTCAAATCCAGCCACAGGGGGGTGCTGTCGCTCTATTTTCTATGACGAGCCATAAGGACGTTGTCCTTACTTTTGGTTGCTGGGCATTTTCTGATCTTTTTTCTTTTATGGTGTCATAAAATACCTCCTTTGCTTAGCGGTACCTAATTTCTCTACTTCAGGGGTCCTCAAACTAAGGCCCGGGGGCCGGATACAGCCTTCCAAGGTCATTTACCCTGCCCTTGCTCAGGGTCAACCTAAGTCTGAAACTACTTGAAAGCACATAACAACAACAACAATCCTATCTCATCAGCCAAAAGCAGGCCCACACTTCCCACTGAAATACTAGTTAGTTTATATTTGTTAAAATTGTTCTTCATTTTAATTATTGTATTGTTTTTAAGTGTTATTTTGCACTACAAAAAAGATATGTGCAGCCCGCATAGGAATTCATTCATGTTTTTTTCAAATTATAATCCGGCCCTCCAACAGTTTGAGGACTGTGACCTGGCCCTCTGTTTAAAAAGTTTGAGGACCCCTTCTCTACAGCTCTAAGCTGTTTTCAAATTGCTTAGGTAAACGTTAACTGGGCTGACAGTTGGGAGCTCACGCCGACCCAGGGCTTTGAACTGGCAACCTTTCGGTTGGTAGATCTTATTGCTGGTGATTTACCAGCTGTGCTAAAGCCCAGCCCGGAATCCTTTGTTGGATTAGATTCAGCGAATCACCTAGTACTAATCAAGGTGATTAGTACAAATTGCAACATTCACACTTGCCTCAAACAGTCAAGTGGGGGGGTCATATATCATTCCACAGATATATGACCCCAACTTGCCTTATTTTGAACATACTTCACAACCTCTGAGGATGCCTGCCGTAGATGAGGGTGAAACGTCAGGAGAGAATGCTTCTGGAGCATGGGCAAACTCACGGCAACCACTTGTTTCTTCTGTTTGTGAGGTCACTTTCTCTCTGCTTTTGGAAATCAAAAGATAGCTTTCAGGAAGTGTCTGGATGTGCTGGCTGCTCAACTGGAGATACCCAGTAATTGGCAGTTTTGAATATTTAATTTGAGGCTATGTTTACGCTGCCTAGAGTCATTTATTTAATAGGAAAGCAAGCTTGTGAAGCATCACTTCCTCTGGACTCGTCTTTCCTTCCATTCATTTGCAATCTCCTATCATAATGGTGACTGTTGAGCAGGCATGGGCAAACTTTGGCCCTCCGGGTGTTTTGGACTTCAACTCCCACAATTCCTAACAGCCGGTAGGCTGTTAGGAATTGTGGGAGTTGAAGTCCAAAACACCCGGAGGGCCAAAGTTTGCCCATGCCTGCTCAAGAAGAATCAATATAACTCTTTTCTGGTTACTGTGATTGTGTTAACCAGGTTTTCCTTTGCCCAGTGCTGTATAGTTTTACAAGGGCGTTGTAGGGCTACTGTTATGCGCAGCATCCTTTCTGACCCGTTGCCCACACGCACAAAAAGTTACCATTGGTGAAAGCAGCAAAATGCTTGCATGCATCGAAATCGCCGTCGCTCCATGAGGAATTGGCCAGTGCTTTATATTAAAGACGCCAATCGTCAAGCTGACGGTCTATGGTTTTTGTATTAGTTAATTACCAGAGATCTTTAGGTTTTCTCAGACAGTTCTGTGAAAAACAAAGATCGTAAGTGGTGCAGAAACATGCCTTGGAAGTCAATGGCTTGCTGCCTGCATCACATCATGGGAAGCAATGCTTGCTTGCTATGTAAATAAGCTTTGGAGCATGAGCTTTGGAGTGGCAGGGCCCTCCTATATACTAGTTGAGTAGAGAACCAATGGCTACTTCTCATTTCAAACATACTCGCTCCTCCCTGTGACATCTGGTCTTACAACACTCTGGTTTCCTTAAAGTGAAACCAATGAACAAACCATGATATTAAACCCATTTAATCTCTTCTAACTAAAATGTATGCAAACCACAGTCCCCAATCAATGGGGAATTGTACGAGGGATATCCGGAAAGTAAGGTTACAATTTTTTTTTAAATACAAACAATGAATATATTTTAATTCAACTAACCTGGATTGTAGCATAGGTATTACATTATTTTTCCACATACTTACTTAGGCGATCCCTCGTTGTCTGAGTAGAATTCTCTTCCAAGATCGGTGTACTGGCGGTGGGTCAGTAGATGACTGTGGAGCCCTATTCTTGATCTGCATCTTCTCCCACAGTGAGGGAATTGGTTTCCAGGTGGAAGGTGGTCCCCGTTGGGTTTGGCTTGACGCACCTTCCTCCTGGCACGTTTCTCTCCATTTGTGCCTCTTCAAATTCTACAGTACTGCTGGTCACAGCTGACCTCCAGCTGGAGTGCTCAAGGGCCAGGGCTTCCCAGTTCTCAGTGTCTATGCCACAGTTTTAAAGGTTGGCTTTGAGCCCATCTTTAAATCTCTTTTCCTGTCCACCAACATCCTGTTTTCCGTTCTTGAGTTTGGAGTAGAGCAACTGCTTTGGGATACGGTGGTCGGGCATCCGGACAACGTGGCCGGTCCAGCGGAGTTGATGGCGGAGGACCATTGCTTCAGTGCTGGTGGTCTTTGCTTCTTCCAGCACGCTGACATTTGTCCACTTACCTTCCCAAGAGATTTGCAGGATTTTCTGGAGGCAGCGCAGATGGAATCGTTCCAGGAGTTGCATGGGATGTCTGTAGACTGTCCACGTCTCACAAGCGTATAGCAGGATTGGGAGGACAATAGCTTTATAAACGAGAACCTTGGTATCCCTGTACAAGGGATATCCGGAAAGTAAGGCTCCAAGAATTTTTTTAATACAAAGAATGAATATATTTTAATTCAACTTACATGGATTGTAGCATAGGTATTACATTATTTTTCTACATAATCACCATTCAGTTCAATTCATTTTGTCATCCACGGGATGAGTATTTGATGCCTGTGTCATAGAAGTTTCCCTCTGCCTTTTTCAGCCAGTTTGTCACTTCGATTTTCATCTTGTCATCGTTGGAAAAGTGTTTTCCACCCTGGTGTTTCTTCAATTTAGTGAATCGATGATAGTCTCTGGATGCAAGATTGGGGCTGTGAGAGGAGTGGCTTAAAACATCCCAACCCAATGAA